TGGAGAAATTTCCTGATTCAGGAACAGTGAGAATGAGGGGTGATGGGCAGGGCTGATAAACAAAACAGGTCCACACACTCAGGTGGGTCCCTCAGATCCCTTTTCTACTCTGATCACAGAATATCAACAGCGTGGTGTTCAAACTTCTGTATCTTCCCTGCCCCTGTCAGGCTGAAAACTAGACAGCTTTTCTTTGAAGAAACTGAATGACCTGTTATCCCAGCTACTCGGGAGCTGAGGGGGGAGAATCGCTTGAACCTGGGAGGCGGAGGTTGCAGTGAGCCAAGATCACACCATTGCACTCCATCTAGCCTAGGCAACAAGAGCAAGACTCCGTCTCAAAAAAGAAAATAAATAAATAAATATATATATATATATTATATATAGCATGCCCTACAATACCTTTCTTAGAAAGAGTATACATCTATACTTCTAAGAAAGGTATTGTAGGGCATGCTTCAGAAAAATGAGAAAACAAACCAAAGACGAGGATGGCGTGGGATCCAGGACAGGGTGATCTCTCCCAGCAAAGCCTGGAAGGGAGGACCCAGGCCTGCACCTGGTCTAGAGAGCAACCAGCCTGAAATCCGAACGAGGTGATAGAGGGTTACAAAAGACAAAGATGTGTAAGATCATTCAGTGTGTCAGAATGCTTAAACATTATTAATAGATAGTTGACAGATCTGTTGGAGTGTTTGGGAAAAAATGAGTGAAAAGTAACATTTAAAACTAAGCAGATTAAAATAAATGAATAAAATTAAAAAGGGGGCAGTTATTAACAAGAAAGGAACAAGAAAGTCATACAAAGAAAGGAACAGTCATCGTTAATCTAAAAGTTCTGTAAGAAATAATACTTACATATTTATTGTACTATAAATACTAACTAACTATGTTCAGTAGGTAAGGGAAAAGGGAGAGGAAAAAGTAGAATGTAAGAAAACTACACCCTCAAAAGGGAGCCAATAACCTGCCATACATAGGTATATAAATGGGTATTTGTGTGAATTATTTAGCAATTGGAAATAAATAGAGAAAAGATCGCTACGGGAAGTTAAAAATGGTTGCCTCTGTGGCTGGGGTGCTGAGTGGGGTGAGGCGGCACAAGGAACTATTATTTTCCAACATAAGCCTTTTGATATTATTGTAACTTTGCACAAATGTTATTTTGATAAATGTAGAAACCAGTTAAGATAGTACTTATTGTCACTGTGGCGTATTCGTTTGCTAGGGCTGCTGAAATAAAGCACCACCAACTAACTGGATGACGTAAACAGCAGAAATGAATTGTCTCACAGCTCTCAAAGCTTGAGGTTTGAGGTCAAGGTGTGGGCAGGGCTGGCGTCCTCCGAGGGCTGTGAATGAAGGGTCTCTTCCAGGCTCCCTCCTTGGCTTGTAGATGATCATCTGCTCCTGGCGTGTTCACATCGTCCTCCCTCTGAGTGTGTCTTTCTGTCCAAATTTCTTCTTTCTGTAAGGACACCAGCCATGCTGCATCAGGGCCCACCCTAACGACTTCCTAACTTGATCATCTCTGTGATCTGTCTTCAAATCCTTCTTTGAATCCAAATGCTTTTTTCTTTCTTTCTTTTTTTTTTTTTTTTTTGAGACGGAGTTTCGCTCTTGTTACCCAGGCTGGAGTGCAATGGCGCGATCTCGGCTCACCGCAACCTCCGCCTCCTGGGTTCAGGCAATTCTCCTGCCTCAGCCTCCTGAGTAGCTGGGATTACAGGCACGCACCACTATGCCCAGCTAATTTTTTGTATTTTTAGTAGAGACGGGGTTTCACCATGTTGACCAGGATGGTCTCGATCTCTTGACCTCGTGATCCACCCGCCTCGGCCTCCCAAAGTGCTGGGATTACAGGCTTGAGCCACCGCGCCCGGCTTCTTTTTTTTTTTTTTTTTTTTTTTAAGACAGAGTCTTGCTCTGTCGCCCAGGCTGGAATGCAGTGGTACAATCTGGCTCACTGCAACCTCTGCCTCCCAGGTTCCAACGATTCTCAATTCTTAGCCTCCCAAGTAGCTGGGAACTAAAATCCTCTGTAATGTTAGGTGCATGCCACCACACTCAGCTAATTTCTTTGTGTTTTTAGTAGAGACGGGTTTTTGCTCTGTTGGCCAGGCACTGGTCTTGAATTCTTGGCCAAAGTGCTGGGCTTACAGGCATGAGCCACTGTACCTGGCCTCATTCCAAATTCTGAAATACTAGGGGTTAGGACTTCAACAGAGGAATTCGAGAGGTGGGGGATGGGACCCTTTATTTTGTTTTATTTGTTTATTATTATTTTTTGAGGCAGAGTTTTGTTCTTTGTTGCCCAGGCTGGAGGGCAGTGCTGTGATCTCAGCTCCCTGCAACCTCCGCCTCCCAGGTTCAAGTGATTCTCCTGTCTCAGCCTCCCAAATAGCTGGGATTACAGGTGCCCACCACCATGCCTGGCTAATTTTTGTATTTTTAGTAGAGATGGGATGTCACCATGTTGGCCAGGCTGGTCTCTAACTCCTGATCTCAGGTGATCTGCCCACCTCAGCCTTCCAAAGTGCTGGGATTACAGGCATGAGCCACTGCGCCTGGCCAGATGGGACACATTTTAACTCATAACATGTGGGGATTGTCAATTGTAACCAAAGTTTATGTGGGAAAATCCTCTGTAGTCTTAGCAAGTTTCTTAATTGTGACTGTGAGTTCACTTGGAGTCTGGGAGGTCTTGCTCTACGTGGAACACTGGCTGCCATTCAAGAAGAGTGACACTGACTCAGACGTGGCCTCCCCTGCGCCGTTCTGGGAATGAGAGTGCTGCTGCTCAGAGGGCAAACACCGTTTAAGTAGGAATAGAAAGAGATGCCATTACGAGCCTTTTGTGGAACCGCCATACTTTGGATGCATAAACTGTGTATCATTCTATATGTGGTGGAGTAGATCAAAGGGGTGTCTTCCCCAAAATGTGTCATTAAGAACTTTTGTTGGAAAGGTTTGAGAAGCAGAGGATACTTTAATATAAAGATGGTGCTTTATCATATATCTACCAGATCTTGTATTTTTTAAATAGCCTGAATTAGTCTCCAGTTATTTTGTGAATAGAAAGCAAGTCCTTACACCTGTTTGTGACCCACCCCTGTTTGTGACCTTCTTTAGGGTCAGGGCCATAAGAGTGACATTGGTGCAGGACTCTGTGTGCCAGGCATTCTTTTCACCAGTGCACACATCTTAACGGATTAAGTGTTCACGTGAATTTTTGAGGTAGGGCCTGTGACAATCCCAGTGTCAGGGCCTCCAGAGCCCAAGCTCTCAATGGTCTAACTCGACTCCCCAACCCTCAGTCACAATCACTACAACACAAGCAAAATACAGGCCTCACAGTGGGAGCGAGACAACCAGCATACACCTATCACTCATTACGCAGAGAAAGAATGTTTAACTAACTACAAAATTAGTGTATGAAGAGGATAGGCACAGTGGCTCACGCCTGTAATTCCAGCACTTTTGGAGGCCGAGGCAGGAGGATCACCTGAGGTCAGGAGTTTGACATCAGGCTGCGCAACATGGCAAAACACTGGTTCTACTAAAAAATACAAAAATTAGCCAGGCCTGGTGGTGGGTGCCTGTAGTCCTAGGTGGGTGCCTGTACTCATGAGGCTGAGGCAGGAGAATTGCTTGAATCTGGGAGGTGGAGGTTGCAATGAGCCAAGATAACACCACTGTACTCCAGCCTGGGGGACAGAGCGAGATTCTGTCTCAAAACAAAAGCAAAAACAAATATGTTAGGGTTCAAAGAGATTTACAGTCAATGTTTGCAGTCTCAATAGATTACCTCTTCAAGGTTTCCTGGCTGATTCTTTACTGAGTTAAGAGCCTAAAGAGAAACTTGGTGGTAATGTTGACATATTCCACTGTCATGCAGGGGGCTCTGGGAATTCAAAAGGCAAGGCTGCTGTTTGTTGGATTGGTTTCAGAAGTAAGCTTTCATCTTTCAAATCATTAGTGGGTAGTTCTACATATATAAAATAGACAGCAAAAGCAGAGTTTACAGGACCTATGACATTTAACAGAGCACAGAAAGATGTGGCCCCACATTTTAGGATAATTATAAGAAAATGCCAGTGTCTAAGACTGAAGCCAATAAAATGTTGATTGAATGAGATTCATCGTTTGCAGAAAGTATTCAACATAAGAGATGACTTATACATGTTTTTATAAATGTGAATGCGTAGGATAATAGTCATAGAACCCTCCAATTTCAATGTTAGTTGTAACTGGACTGGATTAGACTCTTGCTAAATCAAGTGTACAAGGGCATGTGAATTTTAGTTTTGGGGTGTATCTACGGGTATATATGGGTGTTTTAGGGAAGGAAGTGTGTGGATGAGTATCTAATCTACATGGAGTATAGAAACTCCTGGAATTTGTCAGTGTGATTCGCAACTGTGTTCATGGCTTATGGGTATGGCTTGTGATGTGTGAGTGAGGTGTGGGGTACTGGGTGGGATGGCACTGTGGTGTGTTAGCATGTTGGTGGGAAGGGTGTGTGGTTTGGTGCGGTGAGCTGGTGTGTGGTGTGGTTGGACCTAGCATGGGGCTTAACTGGACTTTTAACTGGGGATGTTAATGGAAAAACAAAGCCCAAATCTTGGAATTTCACCCTCTGTAGACCAACAACCTTACTGAATGAACCTTGACGTGTGAGTTTTCACGTGCGGTGTTGGTTCTGTGGGAGGTGGGAGGCTGGAATACGTGAGTGTTGGGGGGCTATAGAGTGAAGGTGGGGGTGTGTGTGCATGTGTGGGTGGTATGGGTGTAGCTTAGCTTAGCTTTTGTTTAGATTTTCTTTTGCTCTTTGTTTTTGTCTTTGTTTGGCCTTTGTTTTGTCTCTGTTACGCTCTTTGTTTAAACTTTCTTTGGCTTTTGTTTGGTCTTTCTTTAGCCTTTTGTTTAAACTTTGTGTGGCCTTTTTGTAGTCTTTGTGTAGCTTTTGTTTTTAAGTGGATCTTGGCTGAGGACTCATCAAAAACACCTTGTGTAATGAAAAACCCAGATCTATAACCTCTCCCTATATATTCTGGATGCATTGAGGTAGGCTCAAACCCTCGGGGACCTGGTATAGGCGCGGAATCTGTTTCACACAACTGCTATTTGAAGGTAAGAGGATGCCACTGGTTTTTATTCTACTTCATTTTATCCTTTCATCTTTAAGTGACAAGTTTACGTTTTTGTATGGGGCTTTCATTATATCCCAGGGAAAACTTTCTGTAAGAATAGTCAAGACTGGGAGGACGCGCAAGGATGGGGGCAACAAGAACAGATGACACCACGTTTGTTCTGATGTGGGCAGGGGGCCTCGTGGCACGTTCCTGCCAATGTTTGGGAATTGTCTAAGCCCAAAGAGAGGCTCTGAGCCCTCGCTCAGATTTCCTCAGATTCCTGGAGCTAGATGGATGGTGGTACATGCTGCTGCTGCTTTTTTTTCTGTTCCTTTTTTTTTTATTATTATTATTTGTCATGATTTAACAAAGAGTTTATCTTTTTATCTAGGAACAACTTTTTTCCTCATATGGTTAGATTTATGTGTGGGGGGTGTTACCAGAACAACAAAGCCCAAATCTTGGAGTTTCGCCCCCTGTAGACCAACAACCTAAAGCTGAAAGGCGCTAATGCTTTGTCTGATACAGAATATCTTAGAAACAACAGGGAGTTTTCAGTTCTATGGATGACAGAGAAAGGAAAAAATATTATGTGTCCCGGAGGCAAGTAATGAACTCGGCCTACAGTACTAGCAGGGAAAATGGGGAAAGGACTTTTTAATGCTCTGTAAATAAATCAGGGAGACAGAGAGCGGGCTGCTGCCGGGTGTGTGGATAAGCTGTTCTGTGATGATTTAGAATGGCAGGAGGCTTGTTGGTGAGCGGGTTTCAAAAATTGTTTCAGATTTTCAGGAAAGTTGCAAACAATACCAAAAATTTCAGGTGCACCCAAATTACCCAAATGTTCCCATTTTACCATATTTCCTTTATCATTCTTTTTTTTTCTCTCTCTCTCTATCTATATGTGTGTGTGTGTATAGATATACACACACCCATATATATTTATAGCTAATTAATTTTAATTAAAATTAAATTAATATTGAAAAAGACTATTTTCTAATCTGGAGATATCTAGATTTCCTCAGTTGTCCAAGGAGCCCACTGAGGACCATGTATGGCCTTTACTTGTCCTGGCCCTTTAGCCTCCTTTTTTTTTTTTGAGACAGAGTTTTGCTCTTGTTACCCAGGCTGGAGTGCAATGGTGCGATCTCGGCTACCGCAACCTCCGCCTCCTGGGCTCAGGCAATTCTCCTGCCTCAGCCTCCTGAGTAGCTGGGATTACAGGCACGCGCCACCATGCCCAGCTAATTTTTTGTATTTTTAGTAGAGATGGGGTTTCACCATGTTGACCAGGATGGTCTCGATCTCTCGACCTCGTGATCCACCCGCCTCGGCCTCCCAAAGTGCTGGGATTACAGGCTTGAGCCACCGCGCCTGGCCTTTAGCCTCCTTTAATCTGGAACCAAACCTGAGGCAGCTTTGACCTAGACGGTGTTGAAGAACATAGGCCACCTATTTTGCTAAATGTCCCTCGATACGGGTTTTGTCTGCAGTTTTCTCGCAATTATGCAGATTTCAAAGGAAGATGCTTGCATTTTAGATCCTACATATCCAAATTCATACTTGAATCTGATTATACACTTTTTAAATTCAAGGTCTTGTTTACCTAAGTTACTAGTATTTTAAATTAATACCTAAAATCTTTGTACACCAAATCACCAAAAATTAAAAATCTAGAGCTTTTACGGATAATTCCCAAGCAATCACCAAAAATGTATAACTGTCACTCTTGGATTATAAATGGCAATTATAGTGATATGTACATGAACTTACAGGCTTAAAGTGAGGTATTCAATTTGGATTCTTTGTGTGTGTTGGATTCATGTCCACTGCTCTCTGAGTATTAGTTTCATGTAATTCCTTTCTAAGTGCAACCAGCTGCTGAAAGCAGATACAGCTCAATAGCGTTTCCCTGGGAAGCCACTCCAGGCTGGCTGGCGTTCTTCTGCAGGTTGATAGGACGTCTGCATTATGGAGGAAGCAGGCCTCTGGCAACGCTGCAAAAAGTCTCGTGATCAAAAGTGTTTCCTACCTGTTCTAGTGCTCACATCTCAGCATTGAACTACAGACCACACCCATATTGAGGGACAACTAGCAAAATAACTGGCCCAAACTGTTCAAAGTTGTCCCCTAATGGGGACAGGAATCAAAACTCTGAGATCCTTAGGCTGTACCAGGCATTCTCAAAACAAGTCTTCTCAACAAAATGTGTGAGGTAGGGACTATTATTCACATTTTACAGAGAAGAAAAACTGAGATCCAGAGACTAGCCTGTGATTACACACAGCTAGTGAATGACAGAGCCCAGTACTCAAGTATGACATAAGCCTTTTAATATTTTTATGGACGAGATGCATTATTCCTTTTAACTAATACACTTTTACTTTAAGGTTAAAAAAATTGAAGTTAAAAAGATGAGCTGAAAATGAACTAAGCAATATTTTAAAATAATTTCTATTAATGGTATAAAACTGTTTGTTCTCACTAAAAATATCAGTTGTATTTTTAATGAGAGTAATTGAGTTCAATGTCAAATCTAGTTTTTCCTCCTCTTGGTTAGTTTAACAAAAAGATCTTCCTAGTAGTAGGGGCAGAGTTAACTCTGCCTATTAAAAAATTAATTTGGGCTTATACTACTACTTGTATGATCTTAAAATCTTAAGTTATTCATTGGTTTCTCATGAAAGAATAAGTTCAGCTAAAGCAGCTAAAAACAAAAAGATATAATCAACAAATTCACTCACCAGGCTCAATCTGCAGTAATTTTCAGTGTACTGAGAGCAAAGGGACAAGCGAAGGCTCTCAGATGCCTGTCTAGGGTTCAGGGCAAGGTCTAGCTAACCTGTGCTGGGTGAGGGTGGCAGAATCAATGCAGGCATTACATGTTAAATGTGACAAGCGAAGGCTCTCAGATGCCTGTCTAGGGTTCAGGGCAAGGTCTAGCTAACCTGTGCTGGGTGAGGGTGGCAGAATCAATGCAGGCATTACATGTTAAATGTAACAATCTCATTGTTTTAGATAACACATATAAAAAGAAAAGTTTTTTTTTTTTTTCTTGAGACAGAATCTCCCTCTGTCGCTGGGCTAGAGTGCAGTGGTGCAATCTCGGCTCACTGAAACCTCCGCCTTCTGGGTTCAAGCAATTCTCCTGTCTCAGCCTCCTGAGTAGCTGGGACTACAGACACGTGCCACCATGCCTAGCTAATTTTTTTGTATTTTTAGTAGAGATGGGGCTTCACCGTGTTAGCTAGGATGGTCTCGATCTCCTGACCTCATGATCTGCCCTCCTTGGCCTCCCCAAGTGCTGGGATTACAGGCTTGAGCCACCGCACCTGGCAAAAGAAAAGTCTTATACCTCATCTTCCTGACCCTCAGTGAAACATCTTGGGAACTCTCATGGGGTAGGCACATCTGCTTTAAAGGCCACTGGGCTGACCCTTCCACATTAACAATTCAATTACACCAGGATACGATGGGCTGACACCAAACTCCTCTTGGCATTTCAGTCTTTATCAACCCCAAGTCTGGGATATCACCATTGCAAGTCCTTTCCCAGCCCCTCCTCTGGCAGGAGACACGCATCCTTTCCCAGCCCCTCCTCTGGCGAGAGACACGCATCCTTTCCCAGCTCCTCCTCCGGCAGCAGACATGCGTCCTTTCCCAGCTCCTCCTCTGGCAGGAAACATGCATCCATTTCCAGCCCCTCCTCTGGCAGGAGACACGTGTCCTCTCCCAGCTCCTCCTCTGGCATGCTGGCATGCCCCTCCTGCACTTGTTTCTATTCAGCTCTGTGTTACCTGCTACAGTGACCCAGTGGCAACACCCAGAGAGCTAGTGATTACAGGTAGAAGGAATCTAAGTGTACTGAGATACAGACACCATAGCACTCCCAAGAAGCAGCAGGTGTGTAGAGACATTGACTCAGCTACTAGATCCACTACCTCTGCAAGCACAGAGCAGAGCTCACTTCTCCACATGATGTTTGCACTCAGGTGGATGAGGGCTTCTGTGCCTTCAAGTCCAGTGGGTTTTCTATAACTACTATAGAGAAATTTGTGGTGGTTTCCTCAGAATCACCAAGGTTAACTTCAAGTCCCTACCCTTGAGAGGGGTATCTGATAAAGACAGAACTCTCATTTCCCTTGTAAGTGGGAGAACTTCTGTTTGGAAGTGGCTGGCAGTTTTATCAGTCTGGAGATAGGGGCTTTGACTTCCTTTACTTTGAGACAATTCCTAAAATGAATTCCTTAGATTAACACATACAAAATATCCTTTTTTTTTTTCCCAGAGAAAATACTGGAGTCATAAAAAATCTAAATGCAGGGCAGTTGGTTAACCTATTATATGATCTTTATAGTACAGTGAATAGACATAATGTGGCTTTAATAGGACTGTTCTCTGGATGACATAAACTTTTTTCTCCTAAATATGGAATTAGGTTAGGATTTCGGGGTTCTGTACATAGTGCTATTTAATAATAAGGAACTCAACTGCTGGGAAAACATGGCATTAGCTATTATTACTGTTTCGTCTGGGCCATGAAAGTTACTCTGTAGTTTGATAAAATGTTTTCTACTTAAAATACTACTCAAAGGATATTCCCATGATGGATCATCCCAGAGTGATGAATGAGTGTCCCCTTCTCACTCAGCCAAAAGAATTGGGGGCCACTGGCCAGGCGCAGTGGCTCATTACTATGTAATCTCAGCACTATGGGAGGCCAAGATGGGCAGATCACTTGAGCTCAGGAGTTTAAGACCAGCCTGGACAAATGGGGAGACCCGCATCTCCACAAAAAATACAAAAATTAACCAAGTATGGTAGTGTGTGCCCATAGTCCCAGCTACTTGGGAAGCTGAGGCTTGAGGATCACTTGAGCCTGTGAGGTCAAGGCTGTACTGAGCCATGTTCTTGCCACTGTACTCCGGGACATGGAAGGGTTGGGAGGCCAGAGAGTCTTGTGGATAGGGGTTAAGCTACTTCCCACAACCTGGAAGT